CATCGACACCGGTGTGTCATGAAATTAATAATTTGTTCAACTGTGCACGAAAGTCTCTGACCGATTTCATTATCGTATCGTCTGACTTCCGACTATCTGTAATGGATGTGCGCGTTAATAAAAACCAAGAGCTGTGAACCGATCATAGCCTTATCTTGGCTCCTTCCGCTGAACACCATGGAGTGCCAGTCAAAGAAAAGAACAAATAAACAGAATAACATATGGGCAACATTGTTCTCTAGGAATGTGAGGGTAAGGCTTGCAGGCAACTCCACAGAATGTTTCGAACAGATTATGTGAAAACGGAGTGGAATCGTTTTTTCTCGGAGCTGTCACGAAATGTTGCAATTTTAAACAGATTTGGTTGTTGTGTGGGAATCAAAAACAAACGTCCTGGTTCTAACCGGAGGTTTCATCAGAAGTTAAAAGGAACTGCATTCTAGAATTAGCTGAGAAAGAAAGAGCCTTTTTCTTGAATGTGGTTCGAAGATATATGCCAGGCGACAGCAGTGGCTGATTCTCTGGCATGTTCCTAGCAAACGTTCGATGAATTTCTAGTGTCAAATTTTCAGGCAGCAAACAAGGTACACCAGTAGGTGAGCCGCAGCCTCCCCAATAGAAATGAGAACAGTCTGCCCGTCACGTCCGGACGTGTTTTTACAATGAAGGAGAACTATTTTAGCGATGGAGAAATTACTTCGAGGAACTCTTGAAGAAAACCTCAAGAAAAGTCTTCTATAATGCAGTAGGCAAATACAGTTTAGTCTTTCAGTAGATGTAGTCACAGAGGCTGTAAAGGGTTCTGAAAACTGCAACTGTTGATGAAATCCGCCCTGAGATGATTAAAGCTTCAGAAGCTGTGACTAACACGGATTTGCCAAACTGCAGTGACTGGGACGACCCAGTTGGACCGAAAAACTAAGGTAGTAGTGTCCACGTTCGGAAAGGGAAAACAGAGGGGATGCTCCAAGTATTGGGCATTGCCTTATTGAGCCTCCCAGAGAAAGGCCTGCAGAAAAGTGTTGGAAAGAAAGTATCACGGAAGAGTCGAATTCAAGATCTAGTAGGAACAGCATGGCTTGAGGTCGTGTCAAATCACCTCCACCCAGACTTTCGCCTAATGCCAAGTTGTTGAGAAATCGTAGAAATTTTCTCATCCGGTTTGGATACACTTTGTTGAACTGGAGCTGATCTATGACTACATTTCGTGCAGCACACTATGGACGTGCAGGCAGACGCGTAGGATCGATGGGTAGTTACTATGAGTCTTCAGTCACCATGTGCTTATAGCCGGTCAAGCGTCATGGCTAAAGGTCGGAAGTCAAGACCGTCCGGCGTTGGTATCGGTTTACTCAAAGTCTGCGTTCTTTCTCCCCTCCTTTTTTGTAACAAAGGGAGGGAATAGTTGGACTCAGCCATTGCGACGAG